AAAAATAAAAGGGGGGGCATTAAAAAAATTCACTGTATTCTGTGATGTGTAAGTTTAAGTTTTGATTCACTTTTTTTTTCATGCTCTGTACTTAGTTATGTTACAGTCAGTTTTTGAATGATTGTGTTTTAATTTCTCCCCGCTATAAACATTGTATATGTTTCTTAGGATAATAATTATTACTATTGCGCGTTTTTCAGTTGTCAAATATTGAGAAAGGATTACTCCAGCTGAATACATTCGTATCTATCAAATTAGCATACGATCTATACAGGGCAACAAATTTGACGAAAGATTTATATGGAGCGGATATCTTGATTTCTTATGAATTGATGAAAGAGCTTCTCAACTATGAATTCAAAGTACGAGGTCCGGCTATAACAAGACTGATTACGAAAAAGGGCTTTATTATATAAATTATTCTACATTCGAATGCTCCCCTTCAATATACTCCCCTCCTCTCGCCATACACCTTTCCATACGTTTTTTCCATTGATCAAATCAGTGCTGGAAGTCTTCTTTGGTGAGGGCATTTAGGAGCTCTGCCTTTTTTTGCTTTACCGCTTCCATCGATTCAAATCGGGTCTCTTTCAAATTAGATTTTATCTTCGGAAACAAAAAAAAGTCGCACGGTGCCAAATCTGGCGAGTACGGCGCGTGTTCGAGCACTGCAGTACGTTTATCGGCCAAATACCGCTTCACAGATGGCGCATTATGGGCAGTGTCGTTGTCCTGGTGCAAAATCCACAACTCATGCCGTTTCTTACGAACTCGTTCTCGCGGTGTTGCCAAAACTAACAAATAGTAATTCTGGTTGACAGTCTGAGCTTCTGGAACCATTTCAGTCATCACGATACCGTTAATGTCGAAAAAATTAACAACATTGCCTTGAATTTTGATTTGGACATTTTTGTTTTTTTTTTATTCTGGGCGATTCAGGCGTCTTCCAATTATATGCCATATTATGAAATACACATAAACCAAATTGAAGCTGTACAACACACTTTCCTGAGGATCTGTGCATACAAGTTAGGTCTAAGAAGCGGAGAATATGCATACAACAACATTAGAGATCAGAAGAATCTATTATCTTTAACGAATAGAATAATTATTTTAGATGTATGTTTTTTAAGCAAAATTTTAACTGGCAACATCAACTGTGAGGAGATTTTATCTTTAATTAATTTGAATGTCAACAGACAGACCAGAGCCAGTACCGAAACATTTAAAATACCGTTCCACTCCACAAATAATGGTTTTTTTCTCTCCTGTCACTCGAATGCTCAGAAATGGAAATATGTATCAACAGGTTGATATCTTACGCAGCTCCACAAATACCATCAAAATTGAATTGAGTCGCATTATTTCCTGAAAGATTTCCTTTGAATATTCTATACTATTTCATCATTATATTGCTTTCTTTTTATACTATACAGCGTGACTCACGGTCGATGTTAGGTTAGACGTTTCTGGAAAACGCAAAGCATGATTTTTCTGAAAATTTCACCTCTCACATTTCCTTATCTGTTCTATGGATCTAAAATATTTTCAGCATTGCGGCGTTGCCACTTC